GCGGGATATACCGCCGCCGCTTGCGCCTTACGGACCGCCAGGTTCTTACCACGGGCCGACCGTTACATGGTCTGAGTGCACTATTCAGACGTGGTCCCGGTCGATCCACTAATCATCCTCCACAGGAGATTGCAAGCTCTTCTGTCGCTACACCAAATGGACCCGCCGTTGATCAGCTGCATTGACACGAGTTTCCCATCAAACTCCCGGCCTTACTTGGTTACTCTATACGTAAACACAACCCGGCCATTGGTAGATTGGTTGTGAAGCCAAGAAGCCTGCCTTGTCGTATCGTCTCCTCTGCAGGGCTTAGAGCACACTTCCCGGCCCGGCCCTCTTCTGGCCTCCGCTTCTCCGGGGCCGCCCGCTTATGCTTGGTGACTGATCAACGGAAGCTTGCAACGTGGCCGACCTTCCTTGACCTGGGTGTTCTTTTTGCATTGGAACGTCGCAGCTTGGCACCAGCAGCCATCAAGGAGTAGCTCGGATGTTTCTGCTATAATCATGTCGCTGCAGGCAATCACGTTTCGCGCAGACTCGGTCAAGTGATCTTTCTTTCCGACATACGGCCGGGTATGTCTAGATTTGGACCTGTCACTGATTGAAGGCACTGTATCTGATTTAGGCCAGAACAGACGGTTCGATTTCAAGCCATAGGTGAAAAGCGACAGTCCACCTAGTAGCCCAAGGGGCCTTGGCTTAGTAGACCTCACTCTGGATCATAGTCTTACTTATTTGTATCCTAGGATTTGAACTCTGCAACGCTAGTAACGCTCTTTGTTTTGATTGAACTTGTTTCATCTGACTGACGGCCGTGACATGCTGGTGCAGATGTACTTCCGCCTCGCCCGTCGCAGTGCAGTCCCCGGGCTGCAGTATGTGTCAAACTCTGTCACATCGCATGTGAGGGCTGATGGGTCTCAGGCTGCCTACTTACCCGCTAGTCATGAGTCCTTGTTTGTGCACAGTAATCACAGTGAGGGAGTGAAGGTTTTGCCTAAGATGCCCGAGCCTTCTTTGACGTTCTGCAGGCCCGGGGCAAATTCTTATGCGCACGCCCGTATCTCAGCATAAGCAAGCTTTCTATCGTTGAGTCGTGATTCCAATGTGTATTACCATGTCGTGGAAGCTGTGTCACGATGCAGTCGCTCAAAACTCGTAGACTTGATCGTAAGTGACGACATCATGTACAATGTCACGCATCCACTGATAACTTTACTCTAGCTAGGTACTGTTTGGAGACACCTGAGGCTGATAGCGTCCATGCATGTTGAAAAGCACGCGCGCAGCAATGCCAATACCAAAGTTTTGTGATACTGTCCTAAGCAGATCTGCTAGACGGGCCTAGGAGGGTCTACAGCAGCACTCAGCTCGCAACAACAAACAAGAAGCAGCAAAATGGCAAACCACATGTATTCTCATATAGTGTGGAATACGAGCGGTTCGTGGGTAGCTAGTACCGTGTGACATGGCCGAGTCAGTGTGAACTTCGAATCGACGTTGACCAACCAATGCAAGGCAATGTACTAGGAATTTTTAGTCCTTCTGGGGGCCTTCTGGGCCCCAACGTGGCCCCAACCCAATTATGAATGTGGTTTGAAGATACTTACCAAAAAGTCCAAAAGGTTGCTTGTCAAGATTGTCAAGGTTTGCAACTGCTAGCTTGTGGCACTAATCCGGTTCTTTGTAAACATAGTGGGACAATGAATAGCAAAAGCGTACATGCTCAAACACACGTTAACAAAACCATACCAACATATTAGCGACCAAGGCCAAACTGGCCGTCACTTATGAAGATCTGAAAGACTTTTCTCGACTCTGATCCAGGTTTTATGAGAAGCCTGAACGTTCCGATATTGCCAACCCGGGGTGCCAACACTTGTAATAAATACAGGATGAATACGAATCCGTGATGAGAGCGGAACTACCTAGAGTCTATTGTGATGCAGACCGGATACTACTCAAGAAAATGAAGTCAGCTGCCTCTAGGCACCGTGACTGTCCGACTACTTTCGTGCAACGATGCGAAGACTGCAAGAGGAGGGAGCGGGGGGGCCCCGAGGGGGAGCGGCAACCGGAATCCAACGGGACGAAGTTCGCACCTGTACAAGCTTAAGCACAAAAGCTTCGCGAGCAAATGAAGTATTCCCCGCTAGCCATTCAGTCCATTTATTGGACGGCAGGTCAATATAAGCACGGCGTTGTAGAAGATCATTGATGATTTTGACGTCATATACCGTGTAGTCTCTACTGTAATGTGGTGAACTTCTCTTCACCCTCTCTTTATGTGACACGCGGCCCCGGCGATTGAAACGGAGAGTTGAGGGAGAGTTGAATGCCTATCGAGTGCATGGGACCGAAACAAATTGCAAGCATTGAAGAAAGCAACGACGCCGTTCAATGCTCACGTTGCGGCATTGCCGTGACGGCAGCAAAAAAAGGGTAGAATTCTCCCTATGATTCGAACCCTTGTTTTGTTGGTTCGGGGCCAGGCGCTTAGCCTTTGTGTCGTGGATATGTAAGTTTCTCGAAGCGGTGCCAGAGGGCCATTTGAAAAAAAACCTATATCCTAGTTTTAATTAAAGCGACTGCAGATTACTGTACATGCCCTGCTACGGGGAGGAAGCGCGGGCTGTAGAATCATAGTAGTACTAGTAGTAGTACGGTTAAAGTCCTGCCTGAAACTCAGACAGGGCGATCGGATTCTGTTGTTTGAACACTGTATTGTATCGAGCTGCCTCCAGGCTCCTAGGATCTCCTGGCTGTCTGTCTAGCAATATATGTAGTGGCCGCTGAGCTTTGCTGGCCCGTGCCACATGTTGCCTTCGTTGCCAGTGGGCCACGGTAGACCGGTTGAGCATACAGATGTACAGATCTTCTGCTTGAGCAAAAGAACGGCAGTGATGGGAGGTTGCTGAATGTGCAAAATGGCAAGCTCCAGTGGCGACCCAGCTGCGAACGGCAAGGGAATCACTCGGCTGGACCGGCTCCTCACGCTGCTGGACAGTATCCTTTTTTTGCACTACCGTCGTGTTGTGCACCACAAACTAAGTCCCCCTTCTTCTTCTGCGTGAATGTTTTGTCTACGGCACTTTGGTGATTCAAGTTGTTAGTTGGTGAACGGGTGCAGCAAGTCTTGTTTCACAGCAAGCGCAGTTCTACACTGGTCAAAGTTTATCTCTGCATTGCAATCAATGCGACCCCCTCCCTTGTTGAGCCACTATGACTTCTAAAGGTGCGCGCAGTTGAAGTGCCTCAACACAGGAATGAACTCTTTTGACATAGGTACCTTATGATTGTACTGTTTTGTGCGATTCTTTCCTAAGGGGTAGGTTAGAAGCTGGTTTATTGCCCACTTAATAAAGAACAGGCAAACAATGAACCTCGACCTTCATTGGGGTAACAAGTCCTTGACACACTCGCAGCTGGTGGCACTCCCGCCACTCGCCGCAATGCTGCGCAGCAGATTGGGGAGCTGGTTGGGCTGCACAAAGAAGGCCTCCGCGCCCTTCTTGCAAAAGTAAGCGTCTGTTCGCCATCCCTCTGACTCTTTGATGCTTGAAGTAGCCGGACTGCATGTTGAAATCCAATGGTGGCCAGAAAAAGATGTAAGAAGCTCCAGCAAAATCTGGGTCCAGGAATCTGACGCAAGTAGCCCTTCACACAAATGTCGGCAGAAAAGATTTACAACCTGTCAAGAAAGTTGAATCAAGTTGAATCAAGTTGATGAAGAATGGACCAAGTCTGCAGCCTTATGGGGCCACTTTCAGAATAGTTTGGAGGCCTTGTAGCCCAATCTTCCAGTCCGTCAGCTCTTGCAAGTGCCTCATCCTGGTCGCTGCTTGAATATCCTACATCTGCTTGCCTTTGTTTCTTTTCCCTATCCATTGTCTTCTGTTGCATACCTCTGCCCTCACCCTCGCACCTTTGATCTATAAGTAGACAGGCTTACTCTTCATGCAACATCATGTTGCTAATCTATCTATTTGCCACCCCTTTGCTCACCTGATCCACCATTCAGCACATGCACCTGAAAAAGGCACATCGCCGCTGGGGCTTTCTCCGGACTTCCATCAGCGCAATCCTCATATAAGCTACGACTTGCCCCCTCCTTGTGCAGATTCATCGCTTCCTGCGCAGCAAGAAGTGGGACACTCGTGTGGCGGCCGGCCAGGCTGTGGGGGCCATCGCCCAGAATGTACCTCATGTTACTGTGGAGAGCTTGGAGAAAGCTGGCGAGCTGGCGAGCACTGGGGGGCAGCTGAGTACGGACAAGCTGGACATTCAAGGATCGGGGACGTCTGAAGGGTCGTTGGACAGCGGGCTGATGCAATTTTCGAGGTAGGTTGCCTTGAAGCGGCCCCAGTGGGTAACATCGTCAGGCAGATAAGCGAGAGGGGAGGGTTTCCGAAGGATAGTGGCACCCAATCTATCGCATTGGACCTCCAATGTCAGTGGTCGAGCCATATTGTTGCCTAGTTTTCGCTGCTGGCGGGTCCACTGGTCCCCGAACATCCCGACCCGATCAGCTTCTTGCACTTTCATCAGTCGTCTCCTCTGACCATCTGACCAAGAAGATATGACCGCCCCTCCATCGCTGCTTGTCTTCGTTAGCGCGATTGTAGTACGTCCGCAACCGTCACGTCATGCAATTCGATACTCTATGATGACCTGCTGACGGTTGACCGAGATGAATATTTCTGCCCCGAACTCCACCAGCTTCGACATCCAGAAAGTACTGGAGCACGGTGCGCTTCTCCTCTCGTCGGGCGGCGAAGAATACGATTCTGCACCGGTGGGGGGATCCATTCAGGAACGGCTGGCGCAGCAGAGACAGAACCTGAAGCGCAGGCTAGGTGAGGTATCGTTTCTCGTGCTCAGGCGCTGGACATAATTCTTTACTTTTATTCTTCTCCTCAGTTGACGCGTTCCGTCTTCCGAAGTCATGTCAGCCTTCTACAACGAAAGCTACCTGGAGACAGATCCTGAAGCGCAGACTAGATGGGGAATCGTTTCTCGTGCTCAGGCGCTGGATTGAGACTCCTACTTCATCGATTTTCTTGTGAGATTCTATCTGACCACTTGACCGGACGTGACCAGTTGTTCTGCCACCGCATGTGATACAGTGTAAAATACCTCTCACACTGCGCCGTCCCAGCACCTAATGTGCTCTTTGCGTCGCGCTTCGTGGCGCAAACCAGACCAACTGACCTCTTCCCGTCAGATTCGTTTTTCGTCCCGTTCGGTCCTTCTGATTACACCACAGCAGATCACTTCGTTTCTTCTTCCCACGAAAATCTGATGTTCGTTTTGGTAAAAGAAGTACACGCTACTCCCTAATGTGGCGCAGTTTTGGAGCGATATTTCTATGCACTTCAAAGCGCCGCTTTCTTCCGGCAGGTCTGGAAGAAGCGGAGCGGTTCTTGGACGTGAATCAGATCTTCGAGGATGAAGACTTGGTGCAGGTAAGTCGGAAGAGCTCCATATGGACTTCACTGACTGGAGCATGCGCTCCGCTTCGAAACAAGCCAGCCTCGGAACGGATGCTAGTTGTGCGAAAGAAGGTGCATCTTCCCGTTCGCATGCTTCCGCGGTCCTGTGATTTGTTGTTTGGAATGCACTGCGTGCACGTCACCTTCCTTTCATTACCCACTGAGAGGATTGCGAGCTCTGTACAGGTTCTGTAACTACATCTGTGAAAGGCTTTAGTGGTGAGAACTTCTAGGCCATGTGTAGCCTTGTCATCGGATTCCTCTCTCTCAGGGACAGTCCTGGTCCCTGCAATTAGGATTTCGTTGATCCAATGTACTCCGTTGTCTGATCCTTCGTCTTTCTGATCTTATCATTGGATAAAAGATGTTGATGATCATTTTTCGTGATCTGCCTACGCCTCCTACTCTTTGCTGGTTGCTCTGTTTTCAAATATGACACTTTTCAACACCTGGCGGGGGACCTTTCCGACGGAATGTAATTAGGTCTGCGAGGATCATACGAGCATCCAGATTGTGGGAGGAACGACGGGAACCGACTCTTTCAAATTTCTCCGGAAACACTCACGGGCTTTTCCGCAGAAGCCCAGCAGAGACGCTCTGCCGCCGGGCCGCCACCAAAAGTTTGAAGAGCTTATCTTGGGGATGGGCCACCTGAGGAAGCCAATCACCGAAAACGAGGCTGTAGACGGCTAAAGGTCGTCTTTTCCGCTAAGACAAGAGGTCGAGACAACCCACTGCTTTGTCCGCAGACGCCCGCCGTGGAAGCTCTGCCGTCGAGCCGCCGCTAAAAGGTCGAAAAGCTTATCTTCGGGATGGGCCACCCGAGGGACCCAGTCACCAAAACGAGGCTGTAAAGACCCAAAAGCTTGTCTTTTCCACTAAGACAAAAGGTCGAGACAACCCACTGTTTTGTCCGTAGAAGCCTGCCACGGACGCGCTGCCGTCGGACGGCCGCCAGAAAGCGAAGGAGCTGAACTTGGCGATGGCCCACATGAGGAAGCCAATCACCAGAATCGAGGCTCTGTATGGCAACGAAAACGTCTCTCTTGTCTGATCCTACCAGAACACTGATGGCCGAGTAACACCCACGATTGTGTCCGCAGAAGCCCGCCGCGGACGCTCTGCCGTCGGACGGCCGCCAGAAGGTGGAGGAGCTGATCTCGGGGATGGGCCACCTGAGCGCGCGCGAGCGGAACCAGCTGAAGCGCAAGGCCAAGGCGCAGGCGCGCGGCCGCGAGGCCGCTTACGTCAGCAGGGAGGAGGAGGGGCCTGCGGCAAAGAAGCAGCGTGCCAGCAAGACCGTCGTCACGGAGCAGCCGCAGGACGGGAACAAGGTGAGGCGTCAGCATTCGATTGCGTTCAGCAATTGATTGCGTCAGCATCTGGGGGGGTGGTAGCTCGATTTTTGGATTTTGTGGCCGTGGCCTTGGAAGTGTGTGCTCCGCTCAAGGTCGCTGCGATTGTTAGAACGCGTAACTTGGCAATACGTCATTCCGGCTTGCCAACCACGGCTTGCGCTCTTCTCGATAGGGACAGGATCGAGGTGCACAGAGCATCCTCCTGAATCATCTATCACTGTCCTCGTACAGTAGATTAGCTCAGGCTTTCGCAGAAAGGGAAGGCATCGATTACTCTGCTCCGGAGATCCGGACATCTTCTGAGAATAGAAATCAGAGATCGCCGATTTGCCTAGACTCGCTAGATTGTTCACGAAAGGATGTCACCCTAGGATCCCTAAACCCTAGATCACTGAGAATCCCCTGTTTACCTGAAAGCGTTCTGTTTGGGACTTCCAGGTGATGGTGGAAGCCGTGGCTGACGAGGACGCGGAGGAGGACGACTTTGCGGGCGCGTGGCCGTTCTCCAGCTTCTGCGACCGCCTCCTGCACGAGATGTTCGACCCAGGTGGGCGCCCCACAGCGTGTCACGTGGCTCAGCCCTCTGAGAAGCATCACTTATATTCCGCGTTTCGAACCTGGGCGGATTGTTGTCAATTCATTTATGTGTAGGCTCCACACCTGGCCGTCTGAATGAAGCTCTTGAAAACGGAGCCTGAGGTTTTGAAAGCGGTCGCACTCTCGTTTCGTCCAATGTTGAAACTTACGGATGAGGCCCGATCTTGGTCCAAACAGTGGGCCCCAAATTTAACACCGTCTCCCTCCAGTGGTTTTTGGAAGATTTCGCTCCATCGGTGGTGGTTTTCCGAGTCTTAGTCCACATTTTTCGTCAAAACATTGGGAAAGTTTTTGGAATAGCTTCCTTTATCTCGACACACGATGAACCAAGGACTGTCATTCCAGAGGCTTCTTCGACACCAAACATATTTCCTTACCTGGTCCAGTCTGGGAGATCCGCCACGGTGCCATCATTGCACTTCGCGAGATCCTGAGCTCCCACGCGTCCAGTGCTGGCATCACCAAACCCCTGGAAACTTCGAACCCCTCTGCCGCGGCCCTAGAAGCCCGGCGCTCAAACGAGGCGTGGCTTGAGGATTGCGCGGTGCGCCTGCTGTGCATCTTCGCCCTGGACCGCTTTGGAGACTTCGTGTCGGATCAGGTGAGCGCTTCTCAGAGTCCTCCTGAGCCAGCAGGGTTCAAAGTGGATTCTTTTTAATCTTCAAGGGGAGGAGAAGTCTCGCGGCTTAGAGCGAAGAGGGCTTGACAATACCGATCTATTGACGGTTTGCACAAGTTCTGTTGATCCAGAGTCTCCGATTTTTTTGTGTTCAGTCATCAAGTCAAGCCATGCGTCGTCAAGAGTGTTATTCTATACTTTTAAGAAACGCTTCCTTGACAAGCAGTACACGTAACTCATGTAAGTGGAATGTCGAAGACGCCTATACTTCATTCATCAACATCATATAAGCCAGCAAGACCATCTCTCAATCCCGGCAGACCTCTGGTCAAATCTGTCCCCAGTCACTGGCCAAACCAAAAATCTCAAACTCTTCAAAGCCGCATCACGGGAACCTCTTCCGAAACTTTCTCCACCATTCTCTTGCAGACCGTCGCTCCCATCCGCGAGACCACCGCCCAGGCCCTCGGCGCCGTCCTCCGCTCCGCGCCCCCGCGCCTAGTTGCCTCCACCCTCTCCGTTCTCTCCGTGCTCCGCTCCCGGCCCGAGTGGCAAGTCCGCCACGGAGCCCTTCTAAGCCTCAAATACCTAGTCGCCGTGCGCCCGGGGATGATTCCCGGGCTCCTCGCGCCGCACCTCCTGCCCGCCGCGCTGGCCGGGCTACGCGACCGGGACGATGACGTCATCGCGGCGTCGGCCGACGCGCTCCTGCCAGCGGCGGGCGCGATCGCGGGGGGGGCCGGGGAGGCGGTGCCGCGGCTGTTGCGGGCGCTCTGGGACGCGCTGCTGAACCTGGACGACCTGAGCCCGTCGATTGGGAGCGTGATGCGGCTGCTGGCGGAACTGTACGCGCAGCCGGGGGTGGCCGCCGCAGGTGAGGGGCCGGGAGTTGGAGGATTTTTGGGTTCTTTTCCGTGGATCTTGCCCGACGCCTTCAGACCGGACGAAGCGCAACTGCCGACGGTCCCTAAGCAAACCCTCTTAGGGGGAATTCGGGGCACACGAGGGTCAACCTTTACCTTCAAACACTCTGCAAATATGAAACAAATTCCGCCCAATAATCGTAGGCGGAGCTGTACGCTAAGCGGGGGGTGGCCGCCGCAGGTAATGCTCCGATCGTATGACATCCATATCCAGCAGACTGAGCGTTTTTGACTGGTGTCAACGCTGGTAGCATATAGTATCCATATACAGCAGACTGAACTTCTTCGACTACTGTTAACGCTTCAATCATATGACATCTACACACAGCAGACTGAACTTTTGTGACTTTTGTTAACGTTCCTATCATCTGACACCCATAGACGGCAGAATGAACTTTCTAGATTCGTGTTAACATCCTAGGAGATGCCGGACTGGAGTCAGGGGCTGTTAGGTTGTTTGAGTTGCCTGGGTTCATGGGGGGCATGTCTTAGTTGTTGCCGTACTTGTAGCGGCATAGACAGGGCGTAGACGATGCACGCCCGGTGCTGAAGTTTGAGCTGCTAACTGCTACAAACCAACGTGCAGAGCACGTAGTCATCAACGATGTCGGTAATCACGTCTTTTATGTCTCAAAAAAGGAATGCTTCGTCGTCCCAAGAGTAGAACGGGTCCTTTGAAGTTTCGCTCCTGAAGCTTCCCTTGCTTTTGTACAGGTGCACGCTCCGCCGTTAAGAAAGAAGAGCCCGACCCCGATACCGCCCAACTCCCCAGTCTGGAAAACCTCGTCCCTCGCCTCTGGCCCTTCATGCGGCACACAATCACCACCGTCCGATCAGCCGCAATAACGACGCTGGAACGCCTCCTGAACACGCACGGGGGGGTCGCATCGGCTGGCGGAAGCACCCCCCTCTGGGTGTCGGCCGTCCTCTCAGACGCACTGCGGCTGACCTTCCAAAACCTTCTGCTCGAAGTCAACGAACCGATCGTCGCGAGTTCGCGCAACGTTTGGGAGATTCTGCTCCACAAAGGGGGGGCGGAGAAAAGCGCACCGTTCCTGGGGGGCTGGTTTGCCCTGGCGGCGACCCCCTCGGGGATGCGGCTGGACGCGAGTCTGCTCCTTTCGGGGGGGAGGTTAGAGGAGAAGGACCGGGGAGGGGGTGGAAAACAGACGGGGGGTGTCGAGCGATCTGGGCCGTTGGTTGGGGCGGAGGGGAGCCCATCGGCGGTGGAGATGCGCGCGCAGGGGGGCTGGGCTTTGGCGAGGCTGGGGCTAGCGCTTCAGAATGAGAACATTGGGGGTTTCTGTGGGCACGTGACGGAGTTACTCCAAAGCCCCCGGGCGACGAGCCGCCAGCTGGCCGGTACGATCATGGCCGAGTGGTTTAAGGGTTTGGCAAACCCCGATGCTTCATTAGCAAACGGCGAAGTGAAGACCGAAAACGGTGGTGTCAAGACGGAGGGAGGAGCGAAAATGGAAGAGGTTTCCAGCGTGCTCGGTTCGCCGGCCGTGGCTGCGTTGAGGCAGAGAGCGCTGGAGCTTCTCCAGGCAAATGACGCCGGTTCCCCCACCCCGGGCTCTGCCGCGCCCTACGCCGACCTGAAGCCGATTTACACCAGGATGCGCGAGGAGGCGGCGGCCATGGCCGCGCACGCCCGCGCGGCCGGTGTGAAAACCCCGGCCTACAAGTTCGACGCGC